GGCGCTAGTGTGGCTCACGCTGGCTCCTGGTGTGGCGCTAGTGTGGCTCACGCTGGCTCATGGTGTGGCGCTAGTGTGGCTCAGGTGTGGCGCTAGTGTGGCTCAGGTGTGGCGCTAGTGTGGCTCACGCTGGCTCCTGGTGTGGCGCTAGTGTGGCTCACGCTGGCTCATGGTGTGGCGCTAGTGTGGCGCAGGTGTGGCGCAGGTGTGGACGGCCACACCCTCCACTAGGGTGTAAACACTGCTGTTGATTATCAATCTCATATCCCCCATATATTCCCCCCCTTGGAATTTCCTTAATTCCAGTTGGGAAATGGTGTTGAAGGACCCAATTACACTTAGTAGTTTAGGTCAATGATCTACACAACCTATGGTGTACTCACCTAGTTGTGTTTGCCGGGGGTTGAGCTCTGGCTCTTTGGGCCCGCCTCGCAACAGTCAATCAATCAACTGATTTTGTTTCACCACACACACACACACACACACACACACACACACACACACACACACACACACACACACACACACACACACACACACACACACACATCATGGTCTATGTTTCACACACACACACACACACACACACACACACATCATGGTCTATGTTCTATAGGAGAACATAGACCCCACACAACCTATATATTATGTGAGAAATCTTTAAAGAATTCTGATAAAGAAAGAGATCTAGGAGTGGTTCTAGATAGAAAACTATCACCTGAGGACCACATAAAGAATATTGTGCGAGGAGCCTATGTCACGCTTTCTAACTTCAGAATTGCTTTTAAATACATGGATGGCGATATACTAAAGAAATTGTTCACGACTTTTGTTAGGCCAAAGCTAGAATATGCAGCTGTTGTGTGGTGCCCATATCTTAAGAAGCACATCAACAAACTGGAAAAGGTGCAAAGACATGCTACTAAGTGGCTCCCAGAACTGAAGGGCAAGAGCTACAAGGAGAGGTTAGAGGCATTAAATATGCCAAAACTAGAAGACAGAAGAAAAAGAGGTGATATGATCACTACATACAAAATAGTAACAGGAATTGATAAAATCGGTAGGGAAGACTTCCTGAGACCTGGAACTTTAAGAACAAGAGGTCATAGATATAAACTAGCTAAACACAGATGCCGAAGAAATATAAGAAAATTCACTGTTACAAACAGAGTGGTAGACGGTTGGAACAAGTTAGGGGAGAAGGTGGTGGAGGCCAAGACCGTCAGTAGTTTCAAAGCGCTATATGACAAAGAGTGCTGGGAAGACGGGACACCACGAGCGTAGCTCTCATCCTGTAACTACACTTAGGTAATTACACTTAGGTAATTACACAGAGAAAGCAGCCCGTAGCAGCTGTCTAACTCCCAGGTACCTATTTACTGCTAGGTGAACAGGGGCATCAGGGTGAAAGAAACATTTTGCCAATTTGTCTCCGCCTCTACCGGGGGATCGAACCCGGAACCTCAGGACTACGAGTCGGAAGCGCATACTGAATAATACAATCACTTCCTCTTCCTGGTCTTCTCGGAAATACAATATACTGTATCATAATTTTGTATTCTATTCAAATGCTTCAGGTTCTTGGTCGATATAATACAGTAATATACATTAGGCTGTCTTGACTAATCAAACATGATTAGCTAAATGAATTATGGAGTTCAGAGTCCCTTGGAAAGACCATTCCACCCACCCGCCAACCCCCAACAGCTGTTTATGGATGAAACACAGTTTACACACGACTCCAACCCGTCCTCGACTCAAGTCCATTACATCCAGCGGTCAACCCCACAGACGCATTCATAAATTTTAACATGCTGTTCATTCAAAACGGGAATTTTCTCAAGTATAAATTAATATTATAATATATTAACATATTGTGTATATATAGGCATAGGTTAGGTTAGGTGTTTAGGTTCTGTTGGCGATTATTTGTATTTGTAGTACGTGGGTGAAGCATTTACAGCGTTGAGGTTCGAACAAAATTCGTCAGTGAAGCACTTGTTCCGGATATGTTCGAACGTCAGCAGTTGTGAGTCGTGTGTAAACCGCTTTTCATTCATAAACAGGGGGTTTGGCGGGTGCATGGAATCACTTTTGGATCTTTGTTTGGAGGACGGGCTGTACGACTCACAACTATCCGAACACTGACGACTTGTGTTCGAACCCCAACGCTGTAAATGCTTCAGCCACGTACTACCAATAATCGCCAACAGAACCTAAACACCTAACCTAACCTATGCCTATATATGCACAATATGCTAATATATTATTAATTTATATTTGAGTAGGTTCCAGTTTTGAATAAACAGCATGGAAAAGTTTATGAATGCGTCTGTGGGGTCGACCGCTGGAAGGAATGGACTTGAGTCGAGGGACGGGATGATATAAGTAAAGCCCAGTCACATACGTGTATCCCCAATAACAGTGTAAACCGGGGCGCCAGATTCACGAAGCAGTTACCCAAGCACCTACAAACCTGGGGCCAGATTCACGAAGCAGTTACCCAAGCACCTACAAACCTGGGGCCAGATTCACGAAGCATTTACGCAAGCACTTACGAACCTGGGGGCCAGATTCACGAAGCAGTTACGCAAGCACTTACGAACCTGGGGGCCAGATTCACGAAGCAGTTACGCAAGCACTTACGAACGTGAACATCTTTCCTCAATCTTTGACGGCTTTGGTTACATTTATTAAACAGTTTACAAGCATGAAAACTTGCCAATCAACTGTTGTTATTGTTATAAACAGCCTCCTGGTGCTTCGGAGCTCATTAACTGTTTAATAATTGTAAACAAAGCCGCCAAAGATTGAGAAAAGATGAACAGGTTCGTAAGTGCTTGCGTAACTGCTTCGTGAATCTGGCCCCAGGTTCGTAAGTGCTTGGGTAACTGTTTCGTGAATCTGGCCCCCAGGTTCGTAAGTGCTTGCGTAACTGCTTCGTGATCTGGCCCCCAGGTTCGTAAGTGCTTGCGGAACTGCTTCGTGAATCTGGCCCCCAGGTTCGCAAGTGCTTGCGGAACTGCTTCGTGAATCTGGCCGCCAGGTTCGTAAGTGCTTGCGTAACTGCTTCGTGAATCTGGCCCCCAGGTTCGTAAGTGCTTGCGTAACTGCTTCGTGAATCTGGCCCCCAGGTTCGTAAGTGCTTGCGGAACTGCTTCGTGAATCTGGCCCCAGGTTCGTAAGTGCTTGGGTAACTGTTTCGTGAATCTGGCCCCCAGGTTCGTAAGTGCTTGCGGAACTGCTTCATGAAACGGGCCCCAGGTTCGTAAGTGCTTGCGGAACTGCTTCGTGAATCGGGCCCCAGGTTCGTAAGTGCTTGCGTAACTGCTTCGTGAATCTGGCCCCCAGGTTCGTAAGTGCTTGCGTAACTGCTTCGTGAATCTGGCCCCCAGGTTCGTAAGTGCTTGCGTAACTGCTTCGTGAATCTGGCTGTCATTGATAGAAAATGGTATGAAATACCTGGAGCCGTTGTTACCTTTGAAGATATTAAAGGATTATCCTATTATACCCTATAGGGTATACAGGAGTATACGTGTATACCCTATACCCTATTGTACCCTATTGGACCCTGTGTACCCTATTGTAAGCCTTTTTTTATTTTATTTTTTTTCATAGCCTACTCGAAGGTTGCTAGGACAAGCTAATATGGAAAGCCGTCTTGTGTAATGGGTATATCATATGATATCATACCCATTACACAATATATATCATTATGATATCATATATGATATACGATATCATATATATCATGATATCATATATGATATACGATATCATATATATCATTATGATATCATATATGATATACGATATCATATATATCATATATGATATCATTACGCGGTATGATATCTTATATGATATCATACCCATAAATTATGATATCAATGGGTATGATATCATAATGGCTATGATATCATGATATAAGAAGTGGCTATAATATAGCCACCTCTTGACGTATTCCCAGTGGGCACGATATCTAATTCCGTTAATTCCGTTGGGTTCCTTCTGGACTCTCAATCGGGACAGAAAGAGTTGGGCAAGTTTCGTTTCACCTAATGCCTCTGCTCACCTAGGCACTACATAGGTACCCCCCTGGAGTTAAGCAACTGTTGTGGAACACAGAAATCACGATAGCGTGATGCATCAAGTGAACAAATCAAAGTAAGGGGCAGTAGAACCTCTGGTTGCAATTCTTTTGACCATGTCGTAGCTCAGTCGATTAAGGCAGCGTCTGGGATGCTCTCGGACGTAGGTTCGAACCCTCGTCACGGCCCTTGTGGATTTCTTCAACTGTTGTGGCTTGCATCCTTGGTTAGGTCGGTAATTCGACCTGGGGGTTTTGACAAGCCGCCGGCTTGTCAAAGCTTTTCCCTGTGCCTTATCCATTTTGTCCGGGGGACCCAGAACCCTGTCAAGCAGGGACAGGCAGCCTGTATATATATTTACCCGAATTTATGTTAAGTTTATGTCCAGAATGCCTCCCCTTCCCCTCCGCTAAGTAGTAACAAGCCAATTACTGCTAGGTGAACAGCGGCATTAGGTGATAGGCAACGTACCCAACCATTTCTGTCCTACCCAGGATTCGAACCAGGAATTCCCGATTGTGAGGCGAGAACAAACCCAACTGTACTGCCGGGACTCTTAACCCTTAAGCTGCTACAGCCTTAAATCAACGTTACTCTTGGGATATAAGAGAGGGAGGGACCTATCATGGGAAAGCACTGAGCCATTACGACTATATAGCACTTGGAATGGGTTCAGGATAAGGATTTGGGGTGGGACGGGGGAAAGGAATGGTGCCCAACCACTTATAGACGGTCGGGGGATTGAACGCCGACCTGCATGAAGTGCCCACTGGGTATATTATCATAAATATCCTTAAATATAATACAACTAGTCACATCGTGTCAAGACAAGTCAATATTTCAGGTAATAAGTTGTGAGATAAGGCAATAATTACCTGTCTTGGTGAAGGTTAGGTTAGGTTAGATTACCTGTCTTGGTGAAGGTCCACTTGGGAGCTGCTGCCAAACATTTCGGGAACTTTTGTCAACGTTTAACACCTCAATATATTATTATCCGTATTCATTTGTCAATTACAAACACATTACTGTCTCACTCCAGGGGAACACCGCTCCTATGCCAGGTAAGTCCACTACGGGCTGACCATAGCCCGTGCTACTTCCTCCGCTCCTGTGCCAGGCAAGTTACGGGCTCACCATAGCCCGTGCTACTTCCTCCGCTCCTGTGCCAGGCAAGTTACGGGCTCACCATAGCCCGTGCTACTTCCTCCGCTCCTGTGCCAGGCAAGTTACGGGCTCACCATAGCCCGTGCTACTTGGAACTTGTTCCGAGTAGCTGAATCTATAACAACAAACTCACTCCACTATATTTGGCTTCATTAAACAATCAGATATATGGTAAATTTACGATAAATTACACAAATAAGTTTGTAATTATGTAGTTTTCCAGGCATATATATGAACTACCGTCACTTCAAGGACTTACAGCCCCGCTCCTGTGCCAGGTAAGTCCACTACGGGATCACCATAGCCCGTGCTACTTGCAACTTTTTCTTCCCAGCAGCTGAATCTATAACAACAACGTCACTTCAATTGGAGATATATCAACTCTGAGTCATCCCGTATAGGCTATTATGACGCCGTCTTGAGAGTGATTAAGATTAAGCCACGCAAGAGGCGGCACGGGCATGAATAACCCGCAAACGTCTTAGAGAAGTCTTGAGAGGTATATATGGCGCCTCGTGGGGCGGGGCGGAGACCAGAGGAAGACGACTGCTCCCTCCACCTCCAGACACCTCACTGATGCCCTCCACCTCCACTCTCCCTCACTCTCCCTACCACTCTCCCTCACCCCCCTACCACCCCCTCCATCCCTCTCTCCCTTCTCTCTACTTTCTCTCACGGAGGGAAAACTCCCCGCCAGTGACGCTAGAGGTGCTGCCCGTGGCTGTGAGGGTGGAGGGGCCCACACGGGCACATAATAGCGACGAGGAGCGTCTTAAAGTAGGAGGGAAGTCTCCTTCTGGAGAATATTTACCGCCACTCGAGACCTTCTTGATTGTTGTCACTGATCAGCTGCTCCGCGTCCCGATCCCTGCACACATCCACTCCATTACATCATATATACGAATATTGCACGCACCGGAATACGTCTTACATCTATATATGCATAAGTATGTGGTAAATACATAAAATTGGTATTGCAGGAGTGTACTAAAAATGCTGGTATGATATATATGGTGGGTATATATGAGTGTTTGTGATGCAGAGGAATCGGACGCGGCGAGGCAGACGACGCAGCCATAGTTCAGCACTCTGGTGTCTCAGCCTCTCCTAGGCCTATTTCTCCTTACTCTAGGCATATATCTCCTCTCCCTGGGCCTAAATCCCTCACATCTGAGACTGAAACTCCAGTAAACTTGCACAATAGAGGAAAGAGGAGGTATATTCCGCCAAGATCAAGATGTTTGCTGGCCGTCTGGTGAGAAGTTTCCGTCCAGCCGTCACTCTTGTCTCAAGAAGTTGTAGTGCTCAAGCTGGCAATAAAGAATTCTTTGACAAGTTAGTCACAAACAGCAAAGTGGTCGTATTTATGAAGGTTTGTAATGCAGTTTCTATGATTACTGGCCTATTTTTGGGTGTATTTGTAGTCCCTGTGGTGCAGTGGTAAGACACTCGCCTGGTGTTTCGCAAGCGCTTTGGTCTGGGTTCGTATCCTGGCCGGGGAGGATTGACTGGGCACCAATTCTTAGGTGTAGCCTCTGTTCACCCAACAGTAAAATGGGTACTTGGTTGTTAAACAATTTGCCGGGTCGTATTCTGGGGACAAATCAGGATTAAGGACTTGCCCGAAATGTTATTCGCACAAGTGGCTGAACAAGAATGTAAAAACTCTTGTATATGTAAGTAAATGAATAAAATTTAAAATATTTAAAAGCCAGAGACTACAACTACCGCTCAGACAGAGCAACTCCCGGTACTATTTATTCCAACATTATTACAAGATGTATGCACAAATGAACAAATCGACAAGGGCCGTGACAAGGACTCGAACCTGCGTCCGAGAGCATCCCAGATGCTGCCTTAATCGAATGAGCTACGACATGGTATAAGAATTGCAACCAGAAATTCTATTGAACTTACCTGGATCCTGCAGCCTCTCCGAGACACAAACCAGGATTTTACACAACTCCCCCCTGCACTCGAGCTATGTCAATAGGCCGTTCTACCTCTTCGTCCTTACTTCATTATGTATGCACAATATTACATTAGTTTTAGATTTACTGGATTATGTAGTTCTATTTCCAGTAATATATCAAACTTGGTGGCTGGCATTGTAAGGAACATTCCATCAGTGGAAAGTGGACTATACTGTATCAACACTTCGTCATGAGTAATTGAAGAATCGGCTTAATGATAAACCTTCTTGAGGTTATCTTGAGATGATTTCGGGGCTTTAGTGTCCCCACGGCCCGGTCCTCGACCAGGCCTCACACGCACAGTGTTCTGTCCGCTCAGCCGCCGGCTCCCCAAACCTTACCTAATCTTAGGATTGCAATTAATTTTTAATACAGCCATTGGGGTGCTGTAGTATACAAAATGAGGCAAATGACTGAGTTAGTTGCCTCATGGGTAACATGAGGTACTGAGTTGCCTCATGGGTAGCTTGAGGTACTGAGCTACCCACATGAGTAACATGAGGTACTGAGTTACCTCATGGGTAAGATGAGGTACTGAGTTACCTCATGGGTAAGATGAGGTACTGAGTTATCTCATGGGTAAGATGAGGTACTGAGTTACCTCATGGGTAAGATGAGGTACTGAGTTACCTCATGGGTAAGATGAGGTACTGACTTACCTCATGGGTAAGATGAGGCACTGACTTACCTCATGGGTAAGATGAGGTACTGACTTACCTCATGGGTAAGATGAGGTACTGACTTACCTCATGGGTAACATGAGGTACTGACTTACCTCATGGGTAACATGAGGTACTGACTTACCTCATGGGTAAGATGAGGTACTGACTTACCTCATGGGTAACATGAGGTACTGACTTACCTCATGGGTAACATGAGGTACTGACTTACCTCATGGGTAACATGAGGTACTGACTTACCTCATGGGTAAGATGAGGTACTGACTTACCTCATGGGTAAGATGAGGTACTGACTTACCTCATGGGTAACATGAGGTACTGAGCTACCCACATGGGTAACATGAGGTACTGAGCTACCCTCATGGGTAACATGAGGTACTGAGCTACCCTCATGGGGTAACATAAGGTACTGAGTAACCTCATGAATAACATGAGGTACTGATTTACCTCATGGGTAACATGAGGTACTGAGCTACCCACATGGGGTAACATGAGGTACTGAGCTACCCTCATGGGTAACATGAGGTACTGAGCTACCCACATGGGTAACATGAGGTACTGAGCTACCCACATGGGTAACATGAGGTACTGAGCTACCCACATGGGTAACATGAGGTACTGAGCTACCCACATGGGTAACATGAGGTACTGAGCTACCCACATGGGTAACATGAGGTACTGAGCTACCCACATGGGTAACATGAGGTACTGAGCTACCCTCATGGGTAACATGAGGTACTGAGTAACCTCATGAATAACATGAGGTACTGATTTACCTCATGGGTAACATGAGGTACTGAGCTACCCTCATGGGTAACATGAGGTACTGAGTAACCTCATGAATAACATGAGGTACTGAGCTACCCACATGGGTAACATGAGGTACTGAGCTACCCTCATGGGTAACATGAGGTACTGAGCTACCCTCATGGGTAACATGAGGTACTGAGTAACCTCATGAATAACATGAGGTACTGAGCTACCCACATGGGTAACATGAGGTACTGAGCTACCCTCATGGGTAACATGAGGTACTGAGCTACCCTCATGGGTAACATGAGGTACTGAGTAACCTCATGAATAACATGAGGTACTGATTTACCTCATGGGTAACATGAGGTACTGAGCTACCCACATGGGTAACATGAGGTACTGAGCTACCCTCATGGGTAACATGAGGTACTGAGTAACCTCATGAATAACATGAGGTACTGATTTACCTCATGGGTAACATGAGGTACTGAGCTACCCTCATGGGTAATATGAGGTACTGAGTAACCTCATGAATAACATGAGGTACTGAGCTACCCACATGGGTAACATGAGGTACTGAGCTACCCTCATGGGTAACATGAGGTACTGAGCTACCCTCATGGGTAACATGAGGTACTGAGTAACCTCATGAATAACATGAGGTACTGATTTACCTCATGGGTAACATGAGGTACTGAGCTACCCTCATGGGTAACATGAGGTACTGATTTACCTCATGGGTAACATGAGGTACTGAGCTACCCACATGGGTAACATGAGGTACTGAGCTACCCTCATGGGTAACATGAGGTACTGAGCTACCCACATGGGTAACATGAGGTACTGAGCTACCCACATGGGTAACATGAGGTACTGATTTACCTCATGGGTAACATGAGGTACTGAGCTACCCTCATGGGTAACATGAGGTACTGAGCTACCCTCATGGGTAACATGAGGTACTGAGCTACCCTCATGGGTAACATGAGGTACTGAGCTACCCTCATGGGTAACATGAGGTACTGAGCTACCCTCATGGGTAACATGAGGTACTGAGCTACCCTCATGGGGTAACATGAGGTACTGAGCTACCCTCATGGGTAACATGAGGTACTGAGCTACCCTCATGGGTAACATGAGGTACTGAGCTACCCTCATGGGGTAACATGAGGTACTGAGCTACCCTCATGGGTAACATGAGGTACTGAGCTACCCTCATGGGTAACATGAGGTACTGAGCTACCCTCATGGGTAACATGAGGTACTGAGCTACCCTCATGGGTAACATGAGGTACTGAGCTACCCTCATGGGTAACATGAGGTACTGAGCTACCCTCATGGGGTAACATGAGGTACTGAGCTACCCACATGGGTAACATGAGGTACTGATTTACCTCATGGGTAACATGAGGTACTGAGCTACCCACATGGGGTAACATGAGGTACTGATTTACCTCATGGGTAACATGAGGTACTGAGCTACCCTCATGGGTAACATGAGGTACTGAGCTACCCTCATGGGTAACATGAGGTACTGAGCTACCCACATGGGTAACATGAGGTACTGAGCTACCCTCATGGGTAACATGAGGTACTGAGCTACCCTCATGGGTAACATGAGGTACTGAGCTACCCACATGGGTAACATGAGGTACTGAGCTACCCTCATGGGTAACATGAGGTACTGAGCTACCCACATGGGTAACATGAGGTACTGAGCTACCCACATGGGTAACATGAGGTACTGATTTACCTCATGGGTAACATGAGGTACTGAGCTACCCTCATGGGTAACATGAGGTACTGAGCTACCCTCATGGGTAACATGAGGTACTGAGCTACCCTCATGGGTAACATGAGGTACTGAGCTACCCTCATGGGTAACATGAGGTACTGAGCTACCCTCATGGGTAACATGAGGTACTGAGCTACCCTCATGGGTAACATGAGGTACTGAGCTACCCTCATGGGTAACATGAGGTACTGAGCTACCCTCATGGGTAACATGAGGTACTGAGCTACCCACATGGGTAACATGAGGTACTGAGCTACCCTCATGGGTAACATGAGGTACTGAGCTACCCACATGGGTAACATGAGGTACTGAGCTACCCTCATGGGGTAACATGAGGTACTGAGCTACCCTCATGGGTAACATGAGGTACTGAGCTACCCTCATGGGTAACATGAGGTACTGAGCTACCCACATGGGTAACATGAGGTACTGAGCTACCCACATGGGTAACATGAGGTACTGAGCTACCCACATGGGTAACATGAGGTACTGAGCTACCCTCATGGGTAACATGAGGTACTGAGCTACCCTCATGGGTAACATGAGGTACTGAGCTACCCTCATGGGTAACATGAGATACTGAGCTACCCTCATGGGTAACATGAGGTACTGAGCTACCCTCATGGGTAACATGAGGTACTGAGCTACCCACATGGGTAACATGAGGTACTGAGCTACCCTCATGGGGTAACATGAGGTACTGAGCTACCCTCATGGGTAACATGAGGTACTGAGCTACCCTCATGGGTAACATGAGGTACTGAGCTACCCACATGGGTAACATGAGGTACTGAGCTACCCTCATGGGTAACATGAGGTACTGAGCTACCCACATGGGTAACATGAGGTACTGAGCTACCCACATGGGTAACATGAGGTACTGAGCTACCCTCATGGGTAACATGAGGTACTGAGCTACCCTCATGGGGTAACATGAGGTACTGAGCTACCCTCATGGGTAACATGAGGTACTGAGCTACCCTCATGGGGTAACATGAGATACTGAGCTACCCTCATGGGGTAACATAAGGTACTGAGTAACCTCATGGGGTAACATGAGGTACTGAGTTACCTCATGAATAACATGAGGTACTGACTTACCCCATGGGTAACATGAGGTACTGAGCTACCCTCATGGGGTAACATGAGGTACTGAGCTACCCTCATGGGTAACATGAGGTACTGAGCTACCCTCATGGGTAACATGAGGTACTGAGCTACCCTCATGGGTAACATGAGGTACTGAGCTACCCTCATGGGTAACATGAGGTACTGAGTTACCTCATGAATAACATGAGGTACTGACTTACCTCATGGGTAACATGAGGTACTGAGTTACCTCATGAATAACATGAGGTACTGAGTAACCTCATGCATAGCCTCATTAAACAGGACCCATGAGGCAGCCCAATGAAATTGTGTTTATTTTGTATCAAAATAGTAGAATCTTCAGTAAATGTTAATATTTAATAAAATCTGAAAAAAGCATTACACTATATCTGCATAACCCTGTGAAGTGGTTCATTCTCCAAGATGTACAGAATATTCTTAAGACGCATTATAATATTTTCACCATAGCTTGCTTATGATGAAGATCCCACACCTACACAGACTTAGAAGGCCAAGGCGGGATCGAGGAGCCGTCACAGTCAAACGTCCGAGGTTTGATTTCCTTGTGGGACAAGGATGTTTCGGCATGTTTCCTTACTTCTGATGCCTATGTTCACCTAGCATTAAATAGGTACCTGGTAGTTAAGAAACTGTTGTGGGGTTGCGCATCTTATGCGAGATTAACGCATAGGTTCTTGTAGGGAACCTCGGTAAGCATGTGTAGGCTTCCTGCCCCCCGACAAGTGAAATCAGAAGTTGGAAGTGGCAAGTGTTTTTAAAAGGAGGGAAATTTTATTGATTTATTTATATATACAAGAGTTCTTACATTCTTCTAAAACCACTAGCATGCATAGCGTTTTGGGCAGGTCCTTAATCCTAACGTTTCCCCGGAATATGACCCGCCAAATCGTTTAACAACCAGGTACCCATTCACTGCTGGGTGGACAGAGGCTACAGTTAAGGATTTTATGTTTTAGGTTCAATTCCCAGGTAGAATAAGATGTTTTGGCATGTTTCCAACAAAATTTCTCATGTAGCTCCGTATTGCAAAGTAAAAGCAGGTGAAACTCATTGTTTTTATGGTGGTACACCTCTAACAAGAATAATGAACTGAAAATTTGAGGTCATGAGGAAGTGAAAGAATTTTTTACTGCTAGACCCCTGGTAATACTGAATCTGATCACTTCAAGGGTCTTGAAGAAATGACCTTATAGAAAGACATGCACGCAAGGCAATGAATTTTGATAAACTTGACCAAGAGTAGCAAGCTTTTATGGATTTAGAATAGACTGAAGTAATAAGAACTTTTAACTGTAAATTGTATACTAGATATTCATTTATCAGCATGTAAACACATTACTCTATTTTGATATAGAATAGGCCACAAAAAAGTTTCCAACTGGATAATGAAGCAGCGTATGTGCGCATAATCATTTTGTCAGTAGATTATTGCATATATAAACCAGTGAGATTCGGGTAGCCAGTTGATAGTTCTGAGTTTAATATCTGTTCAAATTGTATAATTAAAAGTTAAATTTTATTTGGCTGAAAAAAAAATCATAAACGATTCTCACTTATTTTATATATATTAACTGCATGTGGCAAATATATATTAATAAAGGTAGCATATTATTTTATTGAGTGTACTTGGAGAAGCACTAATTTCAACTTATAACGTAAGACGTACCGGTATGTATTATATTTTCTTTGCAAGCCTGAGAATTATTGTTTCCTGTAATTGAATTTATTTGCAGGGAACTCCAGACATGCCAAGATGTGGCTTTAGCAATGCTGTGGTACAGATTTTACGGATGCACGGTGTCGACTATGATGCTCACAATGTCTTGACTGATGAAACTGTTCGGCAAGGTGGGTCAAGTCAAATTTAAGTACAGTACAGGTACTGTAATACCATCTTATTTAAATCTTTTCCAACTAAAGTATGCTTGTTTTGGGCTTATTTTTGTAATGTGTTCATTCCACATTTATATAAAACAGTAACTCATCACACTTTTATGTGATAGGTGATTGGAAATATGCCCAGCTATTTCTGTCTCACCCATGATTTGAACCCGGAATTCTCAATTGTGAGTCGTGAACAAACCCGACTGTGCTACCAAGACCTTGCTAAATGAAGATATGTACAGTTGGGTTCATTTTCAACTCACAATCAGGAATGCTGGTATGAATCCCAAGTAAGACAGTGTTTTATTTTTACAAAGGTGAGTACAGGAACAAGTAACTTCTGACTCCTGTTAGCAGGCTAAGAGCCTTCACTTCCTATAGTTTATGGTGAGCGTTACCCACTAGTTTTCCTGGAACATGACCTACCAATTGGTTAACAACCGGGTACCCAACTACTGCTGGGTGATCAAAGGCAAACACCTCACCTTGCTGAAAATAAGTGCTTGGGGGTTAGTCAACTATCGTGGATTTGCATCATGGGGAGGGTCAGTAGTTCAACCTTTGGGGGCAACCTCGATATCAGCCTAGTGTACGTACATACACGGGTTGCTTGTGCCCTGATGAAATGAATTATTGTTGATGTGTAAAATGATGATGGAACCCTATCACAACCGACTTTATATATATTTTCTAGAGTGTGGTTTGGTCAACATATTCCAGCCACGTTATTGTGACTCCTCATCTGCAGATGGAACCTTACTTTCCTTACTATGGCAATCACTATATTTACCTGAGGGCCACTAACACTAGTGGGCTCGATGAGGACAGGAAGCCAGCAGTTTGTCAACGATCCCCTCATTTGCCCTGATGGTCTTTTCCCGTTGGATTTTAAAATTTAACAGAGTTTTGGCATTTACGGCTTTGGCAGGTAAGCGGTTCCATGGGTTTATAACCCTATGGGTGAAAAAGCATCTGTTCTCAGTCCTACACTGTGGCTCGTTGACCTTGAACCTTGTATACCTGTATCATTATACTTTCTCCAAGATTTTATATTTTTTTTAAATTCTTCATGTTTTAAAAATTATTTTCTAATACAAATTGCATCAAATGCTTAATAAGTAATTCAAATTTTTAATTAGTCTTGATACTTTCATGACTGTTTATTGTTTTGCTCCAAATTATAACTACCTGTCTTGTAGTAGGCATCCACATTTGATGCCAAATGTGGCAGCAGTCTCAGGAGACTATGAGTTGGGCTCTGGTTGTCAGTCTGGAGTGGCCTTTCCAGGGAGCAAAGCCAGGGTAGGTTGCAGGTGATGAGTGACAATAACGTGGCTAAAGTATGATGACCAGACCTCACACTAGAAGCTGAAGAGACGACGACCTTTCGGTCCGTCCTGGACCATTCTCAAGTCCATTGACTTGAGAATGGTCCAGGATGGACCGAAACGTCATCGTCCCTTCACCTTCTAGTGTGTGGTCTGGTCATCAGGGTAGGTTGATACAGGGGAGAAGCTGTTACCCATGCAGCCAGTCTAGCAGTAAGCAGCAGGTTATCTATGACAGTACTACCTGCCTAAGGTAAAGACTAAATTGACAAAAGTGAAAGAGTTTGCAGAGGTTTTGCCAGGTCTTTACTACTGTATTTCTGTATCATGATATTGGGGCCAAAACCCAACAGTACTGTACTGTAATTAAACAACACCTCACAACCGGTCGGCCGAGCGGACAGCACGCTGGACTTGTGATCTTGTGGTCCTGGGTTCAATCCCAGACGCCGGCGAGAAACAATGGGCAGAGTTTCTTTCACCCTATGCCCCTGTTACCTAGCAGTAAAATAGGTACCCGGGTGTTAGTCAGCTGTCACGGGCTGCTTCCTGGGGGTGGAGGCCTGGTCGAGGACCGGGCCACGGGGACACTAAAAAGCCCCGAAATCATCTCAAGATAACCACATTAGTTACTGTATTTTAAGTACTGTACTTTGGTCTTTGCTGTTACCAAGTTCCCCATTTTTCAAAAAAATTAATTCTTGTTGCTCATATACTGTATTCCAATTTGTATTAGGGATACAGAATACATAATAGTATTGAGTTTTGTAATGATTAATATTACATGTGATGCATGTAACATTATATGTACTATATCTTAGGAGTGTTATACTGGATTGACATTTCAACCTCATGGCAGTTCTAAAGGGTATACAGCTTTGATTTCCAACTAGCAACTAAAATCTGTAACATTTGTTGAAGCATATGATTCATGAATGAACTGAGTGCAATAGAATGTGTGAATGAATGAAAAGAATGAAGTCCCCGTGGCACAGTGGTAAAGCACTCGCCCGGCTCATCGCTAGTGCATTGGCCTGGGTTCGTATCCTGACAGGGGAGGATTGACTGGGCACCAATCCTTAATGGTAGCCTCTGTTCACCCAGCAGTCAATGTGGGTACCTGTAATGGGGTACGATTTGGTGGCTTGTATTCAAGGGAAAAATTAGGATTAAGGACCTGCCCAACACGCTATGCATGCTAGTGTCTTTAAAAGAATGTAAGAACTCTTGTATATATGTGTATATATGTGTGTGTATGTATATATATATATATATATATATATATATATATATATATATATATATATATATATATATATATATATATATATATATATATATATATATATATATAAATATATATATATAAATATATATATATAAATATAATATGCGAACAAGCCTGAATGGTCCCCAGGACATATGCAACTGAAAACTCACACCCCAGAAGTGACTCGAACCCATACTCCCAGAAGCAACGCAACTGGTATGTACAAGACGCCTTAATCCACTTGACCATCACGACCGGACATAATGAGGTGATAGCCGAGGCTATATGAACCACCCCACCGCCGGCACTCGGATAGTTATCTTGGGCATAGCATTTTACCAAATCACCTCATTCTTTGGGGCACACGTGAGGAACACAAATGCGAACAAGCCTGAATGGTCCCCAGGACATATGCAACTGAAAACTCACACCCCAGAAGTGACTCGAACCCATACTCCCAGAAGCAACGCAACTGGTATGTACAAGACGCCTTAATCCACTTGACCATCACGACCGGACATAATGAGGTGATAGCCGAGGCTATATGAACCACCCCACCGCCGGCACTCGGATAGTTATCTTGGGCATAGCATTTTACCAAATCACCTCATTCTTTGGGGCACACGTGAGGAACACAAATGCGAACAAGCCTGAATGGTCCCCAGGACATATGCAACTGAAAACTCACACCCCAGAAGTGACTCGAACCCATACTCCCAGAAGCAACGCAACTGGTATGTACAAGACGCCTTAATCCACTTGACCATCACGACCGGACATAATGAGGTGATAGCCGAGGCTATATGAACCACCCCACCGCCGGCACTCGGATAGTTATCTTGGGCATAGCATTTTACCAAATCACCTCATTCTTTGGGGCACACGTGAGGAACACAAATGCGAACAAGCCTGAATGGTCCCCAGGACATATGCAACTGAAAACTCACACCCCAGAAGTGACTCGAACCCATACTCCCAGAAGCAACGCAACTGGTATGTACAAGACGCCTTAATCCACTTTACCATCACGACCGGACATAATGAGGTGATAGCCGAGGCTATATGAACCACCCCACCGCCGGCACTCGGATAGTTATCTTGGGCATAGCATTTTACCAAATCACCTCATTCTTTGGGGCACACGTGAGGAACACAAATGCGAACAAGCCTGAATGGTCCCCAGGACATATGCAACTGAAAACTCACACCCCAGAAGTGACTCGAACCCATACTCCCAGAAGCAACGCAACTGGTATGTACAAGACGCCTTAATCCACTTGACCATCACGACCGGACATAATGAGGTGATAGCCGAGGCTATATGAACCACCCCACCGCCGGCACTCGGATAGTTATCTTGGGCATAGCATTTTACCAAATCACCTCATTCTTTGGGGCACACGTGAGGAACACAAATGCGAACAAGCCTGAATGGTCCCCAGGACATATGCAACTGAAAACTCACACCCCAGAAGTGACTCGAACCCATACTCCCAGAAGCAACGCAACTGGTATGTACAAGACGCCTTAATCCACTTGACCATCACGACCGGACATAATGAGGTGATAGCCGAGGCTATATGAACCACCCCACCGCCGGCACTCGGATAGTTATCTTGGGCATAGCATTTTACCAAATCACCTCATATAGCCTCGGCTATCACCTCATTATGTCCGGTCGTGATGGTCAAGTGGATTAAGGCGTCTTGTACATACCAGTTGCGTTGCTTCTGGGAGTATGGGTTCGAGTCACTTCTGGGGTGTGAGTTTTCAGTTGCATATGTCCTGGGGACCATTCAGGCTTGTTCGCATTTGTGTTCCTCACGTGTGCCCCAAAGAATGAGGTGATTTGGTAAAATGCTATGCCCAAGATAACTATCCGAGTGCCGGCGGTGGGGTAGTTCATATAGCCTCGGCTATCACCTCATTATGTCCGGTCGTGATGGTCAAGTGGATTAAGGCGTCTTGTACATACCAGTTGCGTTGCTTCTGGGAGTATGGGTTCGAGTCACTTCTGGGGTGTGAGTTTTCAGTTGCATATGTCCTGGGGACCATTCAGGCTTGTTCGCATTTGTGTTCCTCACGTGTGCCCCAAAGAATGAGGTGATTTGGTAAAATGCTATGCCCAAGATAACTATCCGAGTGCCGGCGGTGGGGTGGTTCATATAGCCTCGGCTATCACCTCATTATGTCCGGTCGTGATGGTCAAGTGGATTAAGGCGTCTTGTACATACCAGTTGCGTTGCTTCTGGGAGTATGGGTTCGAGTCACTTCTGGGGTGTGAGTTTTCAGTTGCATATGTCCTGGGGACCATTCAGGCTTGTTCGCATTTGTGTTCCTCACGTGTGCCCCAAAGAATGAGGTGATTTGGTAAAATGCTATGCCCAAGATAACTATCCGAGTGCCGGCGGTGGGGTGGTTCATATAGCCTCGGCTATCACCTCATTATGTCCGGTCGTGATGGTCAAGTGGATTAAGGCGTCTTGTACATACCAGTTGCGTTGCTTCTGGGAGTATGGGTTCGAGTCACTTCTGGGGTGTGAGTTTTCAGTTGCATATGTCCTGGGGACCATTCAGGCTTGTTCGCATTTGTGTTCCTCACGTGTGCCCCAAAGAATGAGGTGATTTGGTAAAATGCTATGCCCAAGATAACTATCCGAGTGCCGGCGGTGGGGTGGTTCATATAGCCTCGGCTATCACCTCATTATGTCCGGTCGTGATGGTCAAGTGGATTAAGGCGTCTTGTACATACCAGTTGCGTTGCTTCTGGGAGTATGGGTTCGAGTCACTTCTGGGGTGTGAGTTTTCAGTTGCATATGTCCTGGGGACCATTCAGGCTTGTTCGCATTTGTGTTCCTCACGTGTGCCCCAAAGAATGAGGTGATTTGGTAAAATGCTATGCCCAAGATAACTATCCGAGTGCCGGCGGTGGGGTGGTTCATATAGCCTCGGCTATCACCTCATTATGTCCGGTCGTGATGGTCAAGTGGATTAAGGCGTCTTGTACATACCAGTTGCGTTGCTTCTGGGAGTATGGGTTCGAGTCACTTCTGGGGTGTGAGTTTTCAGTTGCATATGTCCTGGGGACCATTCAGGCTTGTTCGCATTTGTGTTCCTCACGTGTGCCCCAAAGAATGAGGTGATTTGGTAAAATGCTATGCCCAAGATAACTATCCGAGTGCCGGCGGTGGGGTGGTTCATATAGCCTCGGCTATCACCTCTTTATGTCCGGTCGTGATGGTCAAGTGGATTAAGGCGTCTTGTACATACCAGTTGCGTTGCTTCTGGGAGTATGGGTTCGAGTCACTTCTGGGGTGTGAGTTTTCAGTTGCATATGTCCTGGGGACCATTCAGGCTTGTTCGCATTTGTGTTCCTCACGTGTGCCCCAAAGAATGAGGTGATTTGGTAAAATGCTATGCCCAAGATAACTATCCGAGTGCCGGCGGTGGGGTGGTTCATATAGCCTCGGCTATCACCTCATTATGTCCGGTCGTGATGGTCAAGTGGATTAAGGCGTCTTGTACATACCAGTTGCGTTGCTTCTGGGAGTATGGGTTCGAGTCACTTCTGGGGTGTGAGTTTTCAGTATATATATATATTAGTATATTTTGGTAGCAGTCTTTCCTGTAGACATATATTATTAAATATGACCGAAAAAGTAAGATTAATAATTCTAACACGAATTTTCTCAATCTTTCGTACATTACGCTTCACTGTTGGAGGTAAATAAAAAATCACTTCTCCAAAATTCATTTTTATTTCTAGTCTGACGCGACACGGGCGCGTTTCGTAAAACTTATTACATTTTCAAAGACTTCACAAATACACAACTGATTAGAACTTACGTATTCTCTGATTTTATATCTACATTTGAGTGAGGTGGGAAGGGTGATGTGGCATTAACACAAGACAGAACAAGGGGGGATATTAATAGGGTATTAAAAGTATCAACACAAGACAGAACAGAAACAATGGGTATTGAATAGAAGTGTTTGTAGAAAGCCTATTGGTCCATATTTCTTGATGTTTCTATATTGGAGCGGAGTCTTGAGGTGGGTAGAATATAGTTGTGCAATAATTGGCTGTTGATTGCTGGTTGTTGACTTCTTGATGTGTAGTGCCTCGCAAACGTCAAGCCGCCTGCTATCGCTGTATCTATCGATGATTTCTGTGTTGTTCAATCAACAGCCAATTATTGCACAACTATATTCTACCCACCTCAAGACTCCGCTCCAATATAGAAACATCAAGAAATATGGACCAATAGGCTTTCTACAAACACTTCTATTCAATACCCATTGTTTCTGTTCTGTCTTGTGTTGATACTTTTAATACCCTATTAATATCCCCCCTTGTTCTGTCTTGTGTTAATGCCACATCACCCTTCCCACCTCACTCAAATGTAGATATAAAATCAGAGAATACGTAAGTTCTAATCAGTTGTGTATTTGTGAAGTCTTTGAAAATGTAATAAGTTTTACGAAACGCGCCCGTGTCGCGTCAGACTAGAAATAAAAATGAATTTTGGAGAAGTGATTTTTTATTTACCTCCAACAGTGAAGCGTAATGTACGAAAGATTGAGAAAATTCGTGTTAGAATTATTAATCTTACTTTTTCGGTCATATTTAATAATATATATATATATATATATATATATATATATATATATATATATATATATATATATATATATATATATATATATATATATATATATATATATAAACAAAAAAATGTGATATGGTAAGTCATTACTGTGTCAAAGTAGATATAACACAGAAGTGACTGACATTGTGTATGTTCACATGAGAGTACTATAGTACCCTAGCTTAAACACATTAGGCTAAATGGATATACAGTAAAGCAAAATTGATATGCTGTAATTTTGTAATCATTTCCAGGGATCAAAGAATACTCTGAGTGGCCCACAATACCACAAGTATTCGTAAACGGAGAATTCATTGGTGGCTGTGACATACTGCTACAGATGCATCAGAATGGGGAACTAATCGAGGAGCTGCAAAAGGTCGGCATCACGTCTGCTTTACTCGAAGCGGAAGCTAATGATAAGGGAGACAAAAATAAATGAAGAGAAACACTAACAAGATAAGGAGAGAAAACTGACAAGTACACATGAAAGGAGAAATTAGAAGCCATTTTGTATTTATTTTTCACACAAACAGTAATGTATTTAAATTTAGTAATTATTTGATTTGATATTTTCTTGCATTCTGGGGGCTATGAAAATGTATATTATTTTTGGCTTTGTACAAATAATGTACAGCACATGGTTTTGCGAGTCCTTCCAGTAAACAAAATCGTATGTGTTAGCAATTGTTTTGTTTACATCAGTTTCAGCATTGATGCTATGCGTGTAGCTCTCGGTGATACCTTTTGTATGTTTGCTATTGTTATTGTACAGTTTAATAGAGATAATATATCTAGAGGTGTCTTGTGTAGATTTACAATTTGCATTTACAGAACTCTGCTCAAGGTATTAAATACGGTAGACTCCCAGTCCTGTATTGTGGTATTTCAGAATAATAATAATAAATAGAATGTTGTTATAAATAATACCAAGGATCTGATTGCAGTGAATACAAGGCAAGTGTTCCCATTTTTTCATGAAGGCAAAACTTGTGTACAGTATTTCGGCTAGACCAAAGGTGTGAAGGTGTGCAGGCAACGAGTCACAATAACGTGGCTAAAGTATGTTGACCAGACCACACACTAGAAGGTGAAGGGACGACCACGTTTCTGTGCGACCTGGACCATTCTCAAGTCGATCGACTTGAGAATGGTCCAGGACGGACCGAAACGTCGTCGTCTCTTCACCGTCTAGCGTGCAGTTGCGTTGCTTCTGGGAGTATGGGTTCGAGTCACTTCTGGGGTGTGAGTTTTCAGTTGCATATGTCCTGGGGACCATTCAGGCTTGTTCGCATTTGTGTTCCTCACGTGTGCCCCAAAGAATGAGGTGATTTGGTAAAATGCTATGCCCAAGATAACTATCCGAGTGCCGGCGGTGGGGTGGTTCATATAGCCTCGGCTATCACCTCTTTATGTCCGGTCGTGATGGTCAAGTGGATTAAGGCGTCTTGTACATACCAGTTGCGTTGCTTCTGGGAGTATGGGTTCGAGTCACTTCTGGGGTGTGAGTTTTCAGTTGCATATGTCCTGGGGACCATTCAGGCTTGTTCGCATTTGTGTTCCTCACGTGTGCCCCAAAGAATGAGGTGATTTGGTAAAATGCTATGCCCAAGATAACTATCCGAGTGCCGGCGGTGGGGTGGTTCATATAGCCTCGGCTATCACCTCATTATGTCCGGTCGTGATGGTCAAGTGGATTAAGGCGTCTTGTACATACCAGTTGCGTTGCTTCTGGGAGTATGGGTTCGAGTCACTTCTGGGGTGTGAGTTTTCAGTTATATATATATATTATTAAATATGACCGAAAAAGTAAGATTAATAATTCTAACACGAATTTTCTCAATCTTTCGTACATTACGCTTCACTGTTGGAGGTAAATCAAAAATCACTTCTCCAAAATTCATTTTTATTTCTAGTCTGACGCGACACGGGCGCGTTTCGTAAAACTTATTACATTTTCAAAGACTTCACAAATACACAACTGATTAGAACTTACGTATTCTCTGATTTTATATCTACATTTGAGTGAGGTGGGAAGGGTGATGTGGCATTAACACAAGACAGAACAAGGGGGGATATTAATAGGGTATTAAAAGTATCAACACAAGACAGAACAGAAACAATGGGTATTGAATAGAAGTGTTTGTAGAAAGCCTATTGGTCCATATTTCTTGATGTTTCTATATTGGAGCGGAGTCTTGAGGTGGGTAGAATATAGTTGTGCAATAATTGGCTGTTGATTGCTGGTTGTTGACTTCTTGATGTGTAGTGCCTCGCAAACGTCAAGCCGCCTGCTATCGCTGTATCTATCGATGATTTCTGTGTTGTTCAATCAACAGCCAATTATTGCACAACTATATTCTACCCACCTCAAGACTCCGCTCCAATATAGAAACATCAAGAAATATGGACCAATAGGCTTTCTACAAACACTTCTATTCAATACCCATTGTTTCTGTTCTGTCTTGTGTTGATACTTTTAATACCCTATTAATATCCCCCCTTGTTCTGTCTTGTGTTAATGCCACATCACCCTTCCCACCTCACTCAAATGTAGATATAAAATCAGAGAATACGTAAGTTCTAATCAGTTGTGTATTTGTGAAGTCTTTGAAAATGTAATAAGTTTTACGAAACGCGCCCGTGTCGCGTCAGACTAGAAATAAAAATGAATTTTGGAGAAGTGATTTTTTATTTACCTCCAACAGTGAAGCGTAATGTACGAAAGATTGAGAAAATTCGTGTTAGAATTATTAATCTTACTTTTTCGGTCATATATATATATATATATATATATATATATATATATATATATATATATATATATATATATATATATATATATATATATATATATATATATATATATATATATATATAAACAAAAAAATGTGATATGGTAAGTCATTACTGTGTCAAAGTAGATATAACACAGAAGTGACTGACATTGTGTATGTTCACATGAGAGTACTATAGTACCCTAGCTTAAACACATTAGGCTAAATGGATATACAGTAAAGCAAAATTGATATGCTGTAATTTTGTAATCATTTCCAGGGATCAAAGAATACTCTGAGTGGCCCACAATACCACAAGTATTCGTAAACGGAGAATTCATTGGTGGCTGCGACATACTGCTACAGATGCATCAGAATGGGGAACTAATCGAGGAGCTGCAAAAGGTCGGCATCACGTCTGCTTTACTCGAAGCGGAAGCTAATGATAAGGGAGACAAAAATAAATGAAGAGAAACACTAACAAGATAAGGAGAGAAATCTGACAAGTACACATGAAAGGAGAAATTAGAAGCCATTTTGTATTTATTTTTCACAAACAGTAATGTATTTAAATTTAGTAATTATTTGATTTGATATTTTCTTGTATTCTGGGGGCTATGAAAATGTATATTATTTTTGGCTTTGTACAAATAATATACAGCACATGGTTTTGCGAGTCCTTCCAGTAAACAAAATCGTATGTGTTAGCAATTGTTTTGTTTACATCAGTTTCAGCATTGATGCTATGCGTGTAGCTCTCGGTGATACCTTTTGTATGTTTGCTATTGTTATTGTACAGTTTAATAGAGATAATATATCAAGAGGTGTCTAGTGTAGATTAACAATTTGCATTTACAGAACTCTGCTCAAGGTATTAAATACGGTAGACTCCCAGTCCTGTATTGTGGTATTTCAGAATAATAATAATAAATAGAATGTTGTTATAAATAATACCAAGGATCTGATTGCAGTGAATACAAGGCAAGTGTTCCCATTTTTTCATGAAGGCAAAACTTGTGTACAGTATTTCGGCTAGACCAAAGGTGTGAAGGTGTGCAGGCAACGAGTCACAATAACGTGGCTAAAGTATGTTGACCAGACCACACACTAGAAGGTGAAGGGACGACCACGTTTCTGTGCGACCTGGACCATTCTCAAGTCGATCGACTTGAGAATGGTCCAGGACGGACCGAAACGTCGTCGTCTCTTCACCGTCGTCGTCTCTTCACCGTCTAGCGTGTGAAGGTGTGTATTTATTATCTTTTTTGGGGTAAGAGTTAATACTTTGAGATATAATATATATAAATGAATTTGTTTAAAAGCAATTATCAAATGTACTTAATACTGAAAGGTATAGATTTCTTTATTTTTGTTTCTGTAACTTTAGTGGTAACTAAAACAATGATAACTGTATGTTACAGCAACTAACAATATAGTTATAACTATAATTATATTTAATAATAACTGCAAACTCAACTCAATTAGAATGATGACACATGTGAGATTTATGCTATTGGATGTGGCAGATATATAAATGCCTACATAATGTGGGGGTAAAGAGCTAAAATAAAGAGCCGGATCTATTTATATGTAGCATGGCTAACTCTTCCTTTTTATACTTTAATGCAAGTTCTGGATATTTTTTTTAAGTTTTTCATTAAACAAGTTCAAGTGTATAAATACTGAATTTAACAAAGCTTGAGCCCAAACACATGTTTGTTTGTGGATATTAAGCTGCACTTGCAGCAACCAATGTGAATTTAGTTTTGAAACTACTGTATGTCAGTGAGAATAAAGATTGCTTATTTTGATTCTACTTGCAAGTCAGTGCCTAATGTATTACCACTTTCTCACTGGAAGTGGTGTGTGTTAGTCTGAGTGAATATACAACCATGTGCAGGCGATGAGTCACAATAACGTGGCTAAATTATGTTGACCAGACCACACACTAGAAGGTGAAGGGACGACGATGTTTCGGTCCGTCCTGGACCATTCTCAAGTCAATTGTCTCAAGTCGAGAATGGTCCAGGACAGCCGAAACGTCATCGTCCCTTCACCTTCTAGTGTGTGATCTGGTCACTATACAACCATGTCTCCTTGAAAATTAATTTAATTGTTCCCACAAAATTTATTAAAACAAATTTGAATATGGTAAAAATCAATCAAATCCATGAAAATGTGTGAAGCTGTCAATGTAGAACCTGATGAGGTATGGTGTGATGATAATGTACGGGGGTCAGATTCACGAAGCAGTTACTCAAGCACTTACGAACTTGTACATCTTTTCTCAATCTTTGGCGGTTCAATTATTAAACACTTAATGAGCTCGGAAGCACCAGGAGGCTGTTTATAACAATAACATCAGTTGATTGGGAAGTTCTCATGCTTGTAAACTGTTTAATAAATGTAACCAAAGCCGTCAAAGATTGAGGAAAGATGCACTACACGTTCGTAAGTGCTTGCGTAACTGCTTCATGAATCTGGCCCCAGGTTCGTAAATGCTTTTGTAACTGCTTTGTGAATCTGACTCCTGGTCGGCACACCCGAGTCACTACTTAAGGATCACTACCAATTTCTGTGTAGTGACGCTCTGTTCACTTAACACCCGAGAGTTAACTGCGGTGGGCTGAATCCTGGGAAAGGTCAAACACTGACTTAAAGGAATCTTGATAAGC